GAACGTTTCACAGTTGGACGTTTTGTATTTGTGACAGTAACGTATGTTCCTTTTTGAGTTAAACGATGAATTATTTTTAATTATCCATGGTTCCAGGAGAGTAAAACTTTTATACAAGCTTCTTCATGTGGGACCCTAAAATAATCAAATACAGTTAGCAATCTGTGCAGTAAATATTTTAATAACATACTTGTGACATCAATTGCACCTTTATATTGGGTTTGGGTGATATGCCAAATTCAAACAAGAGAGAGAGAGAGAGAGAGGGTGAGAGGCTGAGAGGGAGAGAAAGAATCTTGTTTATTACAACTGTTTATTTTAACTGGCATAAAACTAACCAAGATATTCAAGCTTGAAAAAAACTGCTGTGTTTCCAAAATAGATCACAAGACTGCACTCTAAATGGATTTGTTTCTTGCAACTGTTTCTTTTAATTGGCATAAAACTAATCAAGACATTAAACCTAGAAAATAAATTCTAAGTAAGTGTCCACTCTAAATCACTATGCTGCAATACAATTTTCTCTAGATTTAGCTCAACGGCAAATTCATACATAACGCACACCATCAGATCGCCATACCTCCACAGTTTTCTTCAATTCATTCATTTGGTCCACGACACTTTCCAGTGTTGGCGGGGCCTTGGTGGTCACTGGTTTCCTGGCCGCCTGGGCCATGGCCAGCACTACACACAACGCCAACAGCTTCATGGTGACAAGGATGAACCTAAAACCAGTCGGTTATAATTATCAGGGGCGGATCCAGAGATATTTTCTGACAATCTTCCAAATTATATTTGTTGATCCATCCTCCATTTTTGATTGTCTTCAGACACAGAAAAATTAGATGACCGTTAATGTAAACTTGAAAATTTCTGACTGTCTTCCGGAAGCCCCAGAAGACGGCCTCTGTCCGCCATCAAATATAATAACTGAGATGTTTCCGTAAAACTGAATTACCGCTGGATGAGTGAACCTACTCGTGGTCCAATCATCTCCATCCTTCATACATAGATTGGCGAGCTAAGACCAGATTTTATAAATATATCTGATAAATAAGATTACTAAAGAGGTAAAACGAAATATAAACCACCATACATAAGTTTATTATGTTTGTCGCCATCTCTGCTTTGGTGAGAATTCCAAAAGTTCATTAACGATGTAAGAATTTGATAAGAAAAGTTGGCAACATTATGACATACTGAGTGTGCATTGAAAGCGAAAGCACACATCAAGTGTGCGCAATCTTGATATTTGAATGAATAAATAAACAAAAATATAGAAAAAGAATCTTCTGACGGCAAATCACAACTGTTTTTTACATTCGTCTTTATGCAAATATACATATGTACCTCACGTTCATGCTTTTTAGAAACAATGGTTGATCTCCCGGCTGTCTGTTTCAAAAAAAAAAAAAAAAAAAAAAAATTAGTCCAAAAGGCCTGCTACTTTATCTAGAGCTAAATAATGAGCCAAATTACTCGTCTAAAAATTTACACCAGGTTCCGCTGTTACGTTATTTTGTGAAACCGTCATTGGCCCTGTTATGCTTTTGCTATTTCATATATAACAAGCATATTTCAGCATATGTGAACATCCTCACACTTACGTGGATCACTGCAGCTACACCAGTCGTCGAACTGAGCTCAGCATGTCACACACATATATATATATATACCGCAGTCTGCCGACTTCGGGCAATTCCGTTCTGCGCCAAACACACGATGATTGGTCATTGGAGATACGGAATCAGCCGAGTGGCCGTAACATAACACACGATAAAAAGGTTGTGTTATTGGACAAAGGCGAAAAATCAGACCACGTGCGTGAAAGCAACAGATGCGCTGAGGAGGAAGGTCTCGGCACATGAGGAAGGGGGGGGGGGGTCAATTTATTTCCAAAGATAACGAGTATGAGTTACAGATTGAATTAAGGTCACCACGATGTTTCGCTGGTAATACTGGAAATTGGACTCCCCAGCTTTTTCCAAACACTTGCCAATTTTATATTCATTTGCAAATTAAAATGAAATGTGTAACAGCAATCTTGTGTTGTCGATTTTGAGCCTCAGGAGTAGGCATCGCTCAAGTCGCCATTCAACAAGTAACTTTTTAATGAAATTGTTATTTTCAGGTATGGTTCTTTAAGTGATAACAAATATGCCAATGTATTTAATAAAAGACAAGTATCATTCCTTTTACAGGACATGATCTGGTTTAAACTGGTCTTCTCAAGTAAGTTATCTGGATTGTCAGTGATCTAGTTCAAACCTGTCATGTTTAGCCAGATTGGCAGGGGGATTGTTGGCCTTTTCTTTTAAAGTTCACACGAATAACGCCCTAAGAGATGAAGCCATTCTGGAGTTGTTTACAGATGTTCATAGTAGACACCTAACGTGACTGCATGTATATAACAATAAAAATTAGCTTTACACTTAAAATGTGAATAAAAAAGAATGTTGGAAGATCATATGAGAATTAATTGAGAATAAGTGATATTAAAAATGATACATTTTTATTGAAATACTTGAACTTAAATTTTAAAAAAATCACTGGTTAATTAGTACTCAACACGGCCAATTTAAGCGTGATTATTAGAAAAGATACAACAGTTATATTATTTCCACCCATCCCAAACGCAACAAAACAAATGCCCCGCCAAACGTTGACTTGCATAAAGTGACATTTTATGGAATTCTTGTTGAGATAACACATTCTGCGTTAAAAAAATAAAACGCTTATCGTTTTGTGCAGCACTATGCGTGCAGAATAACTATGAACTTTGTTGGCGGAATGCTGTTCGCAGTCTGAACGCTGCTTAACACAATTTGTTCGGCGAAGACAATACACAACCAATTACCATAAGGTCCCAAGCACAGTCTTATCTTCTCTATGGTCATTAAACAAGGTGTACACGTATTAGCCAAACAACCAAGACCAATGCTACACGTACACTCTACTTCTTATTAATCATGCAGCAAGGTAAACCAAATGGGCCATCAACCAACAACAAGCACGCAAGCAATGATAATTCATTTTTCGGGCTGCTTAAAAAACCTGAGCTTTTCTTTTCCTCGTAATCATTCAACGCATAGGAAAGAATCATCCAATACGCGACAAACACGATTCTATAAAAAGGTATTTACAGTAACGTGGTCCGCATTCGCTTTTAATAGACCTCCACGATACCTGAAAAGACCCAAGTCCGTTTTTCCTTCCGTAACCTTCAAGATTCCCAATGTGGAAGATTGCGTTTATTCTCATGGTGGCGGCTTTACCGGTCATGTCGCAAGAGTCTTTCAGCTATTCCTTCAGCACTGACGCTGAGGGGAATGTTGTGAGTTCAAGTTCTAGCAGCGATGGTCCCAGGGGTGCGGCCGCAGGGGGTGGTAGCGTCGGCACCCAGAGCGCCGGACGGGGTCCTGGCGACCCTATCATCATAGATAACGGGCAACCTCCAGGAGGTCCAGGACAAAGTGGGCGACCCGGGCAGGGAGGCAGCGGTGGTGGTGACGGTGGCGGTGGTGGGCGTGGCGGCAGCGGTGGTAGCGGCGGTAGCGGTTTTGGAGCTGGATTTGGTCAAGGAGGCGGAAGCGGCGGCGGCAGCGGCGGTGGTGGTGGCAGCTATGTTGGCAACGGTGGAGTACCCCCGGGCTTTACCTCCCTCGAGGTTGAATAACACATGTTGCCGGTGGCAAATCAAACATTTGTCAGTTCTGTTATACATGTAGCTGATGCCGTAAAATTGCAGTGCACTGCATCTCTTTATCTGCTTCTTTTGCAGAAATAGGATAAGGGGGTGGGGGGGGCTATTGGATCAAAGTCTAAAATTATATGAAATTCAACTGGGTCCACACATAATGCAGGGTTTTTCTTGTCCGTGAAGGCGGAGTAATCGTCACAAATGCATGCGACGTGCGCGTCGTCACGCCCCACTATAAAACACAAATGAGTGGAAATAATCACAATTGCACTAACATCATTTTGATTACACCGAAATGGTATTCAACGACCATGAAGGTTTTTATTCCGTTTTGGAAATTAACGGTTAATGAATTGATGCTTCGGTGGCAATAAAAAGTGATCCTGGCAACATATGACAGTCGCTGTTTCAATTGGGCAATAATAAATGACGTGAATCCCTTTTTTTTTCTCTAATAAAGCATTTATTGTGAGTAGATTTACTCTAATCATATCAATGCGTCCTGTTTGATTTGGGTTTTCGGTAGATCTCAAAGTTTATATGGGATCTGTGAGTAAAAGTTTGCATTCTAGAATGGTATAAAGTGATCTCAATTTATTCCATGGGAACCAATGAATTATGTGTGTCACCATCTACCATCTCTCTCTCTCTCTCTCTCTCTCTCTCTCTCTCTCTCTCTGTGTGTGTGCGTGTGAGTGTGTGTGTGTGTGTGTGTGTGTGTGTGTGTGCGTGCGTGTGTGTATGTTCGTGTGTAAAGACCTTGTCTTAAAATCTATACTTTTTATGCTTGCAGTCTGTAATTTCCGCCTCTTTAAAAAAAAAAACGTTTATACCCGTAATTTCACAAAAGAAGGCCAGCACACAAACAATTTCTCCTGCCGATGCAAAAAAAAAAAAAAAAAAAAAAAGTGAGAATAAGCCATGTCAGGTAGATCTACAATGTTCATGTATTTCATGAGAACCCGTCAACACACGAAAAAGGTACACTCTACCAGGGCCGCAGTTATTATTGTGGACGTATTTTAGATATTAGCCATCTATTTAACCAGAGACATACCTGTTAATATCAAGTGAAAAATCAATCTGTGGCCCTGGTAGAGGGTACGGAAAAGGATAGCCCTACATGCATCAGTTGTGAGCAGCTTCATAACGTTTTCTCTCTCTGTATTAGAACTGCGCAGTTGTAATTTAAACACACGATCCCCATCATCTATAATACCCACTGTTATGCTAGTTTAGCTAATTACTGTATTAGTATAATAAGCATAATAATAATCAGATCCGGGATTATGGATATAAATATACACATACTAGTATATTTAAACTGTTTCACTGCGAAACCAGCGTATTTCTCGCAGAGGACGAGAAAACCAGGTAGGCTATACGATTAAATGTATTCTTTGTCTATTCTTTTCACAGCATCCGAAGCAGTAATTTTTTAAAATGTCGTTGTGCAAGAGCCTACTTAGAAAACAAAATCATTCGGCCTGCTTTTGTTTCAGTGGATGTCGATACTGTAAATATCAAAACTCCAGAAATGTAATTTTTTTGCCAAGCGTGGAAAATCTTGCGTGTATTTGTGATTAAAATGTTTTGATAAAGTAGCACATACAGGTATATATAGTACATGTATAACTATTTTACAATTCTTTTAGGAGAGAGAAAACTGAGATAAAATGAACAGAGTGTCAGCCATTATTTGCCTGGTGGTGGTGGCGATCGCCACGCGGGAGATGTTGTTTGTCCAAGCTGGTAAGAACATGCTCTCTCTCTCTCTCTCTCTCTCTCTCTCTGCTGTTTTCTCTATTCATTTAGAACGTTCACTAATGTCTGAGTGCCTGTGTGTGTGTGGGTGTGTGTGGGTGTGTGCGCGCGCGCGCGCCCGCTAGAGAGTCGTCGGTGTGTGGGTGTACGTAACTAAAAAAAGAACTGGCGTTAATTTGTCGTTTATAACTATCTTAAGATCTATATGACCAGTGGATGGAGGACAGAGACTGTTGGGAAAATGACGGCGCTGTATGTCAGCATGACGGCCTGTATTGCAGTGGGCATTACGAGACAGGACTATGTGGAGGGGGTAGACATCGAAGGTGCTGTATTCCCGGCCGTGGTGTGTATACTGACATCTCTTTATAATTTTTCTTTCTTTAAGTCCTGCACAAACTCTAAAATATCGGTAGGAGTAACGATATTTTGAGACCATAATCTCATGATAATTCTTTACTGGTAGCTTGGTCAGTTATTTCATAACTGAATCTTGATATTTTTTGCGTGATGTGCTGTATGCCTTTAGCTGTTATGGAAGGAACACAGGACGGGAGCATTACAGAGTTTGAAAATATATATAATTTTGTTGACTTTTCCTTTCCTTTGCTTTGTTTTGTTTTGTTTAGTACCTGTATGTGTGCACAGCGCCTGAGACTTCTTAATAGATACTTTTTTAATAACAGAAACATCAAAATATCTTAATTCTCCTTTTATTCACTTCTGTTCTCAGCGGACAGATTGTGCCTACAGGAGCGGGGCAGATGCCAGTTCCAAGGAGAAACATATTGCCCTTTTCCCTATGCAACAGGTATATGTGGCGGACCATCACGCAGAATGTGCTGTGTACACCGCGCGCTTCCGCCCTAACTGCGCATGTTCAACTCATTAAGCAACCTAGCGTTGCGCAATGTCGCGAGCTTCATTTGAATTCAATTTTAGCGCTTTAAAGAAACCAAAGGGTGTACGAAATATTTCTAAAGGCTAAAGTTCTGTATAAAGGTCTTCCTCCTCATCACGGCTGTAGAGCTATGTTTCGGCAATAAAAATCATCTTTGTTTTATATATTTCGTTTTGTCGTAAATGGTAAGGTGAGTGCGTGCGTGCTTGCCATCGTGACGGAAATGGAACGCATGTTGAGATTTTAGCAAATACAAAATGAGAGAACCATCAATTACAGAATTGAATATTAGAATTTACAAGCATTAAATAAATATTGTTTTATACTTCTCTCATAGGGGAGACCGGGGGTAGTTGGACCCCGGGGTAAGTTGCCCCCCCCCCCCCCAATCAATTTATAACTATGGGGTAAAAGAATTGATCATCATTTTGTAAAGTGACCGTATCCAGTAGTGCTAAGAAAGCGTCGGCAGTAGTCCAAATGAAATAATTTAGCATCTTTTAAAGTAACTTTATTAAAGTAACTTGATGGGGGGGGGGGGGGGCAACTTACCCCGGGGCCCAACTACCCTCGGTCTCCCCTATCCTTTTACTTTTTCCATTATTTATTTTGCCATCCAAATATAATTATTCTAGATATTTATAAAAATTTCCAGAACATGTGATTATTTTACTCTGGCTGCTTGACCCTCGTATCCTAAACACGTGCTTAGTTTGCTTTTACATAAATCTGACCCTGGTTTATAACATTAAAAAGAAAGAAAATTGTCATTTATCACTTTTCAGAACTTTTGGAATAAAATTATTACGCAGGACTAAATCGAAGCACATAACTGAAGAAAAAAGAAAACTTTTTCATCGCACAAAGAAAAAAAATATATTTGCAAGTTTTTTCCCTTATCAGAGTTTATTACTGCAATACAATAATCAACCATAACTCAATCGCAAAGCACCAGCTATAAAAATACTTCATTTCAACTAAGATCTAATATCTAATCTTAGATTTCAACAAATAACAGAAATGTCAAATGAAATGGCATTATCTTTGTTTACCGCTGATACGTTTATAACTGTGGAAGATCCATGCTCTCCTATCGTTTCAGATCAGACAACGGTACCTATGAGTAAAAACAAAAAGGCAATAGTAAGAGAGACTGTTCTTAGGTGTTTTATATGTTATAAATGCCAACGTTTAGCAAAATATCTCCCCCTCACCTTCCGTTACCTTTACGTAGAATATTTGTATTAGTGCAATGAATAAAACACTTTTAAAGTGCAAACTTCCTTCCTTTTGTCTTTTTTTACCACTGTACCGTTTCTGCACACAGGGAGACCGAGCATTTATCATCAATGTACTTTTATCGTTAACCAAGCTTCTTTGTAAATTGGTGCGAGACATTGGTCGGTTTCTGACGTACAAACGGTACAAAGTAGGATATATCATAAAATGTTGGAGTCAGCACTGTGACTATTAATTGCGTGGTACACGTACATGTAGGCCTATCGGTACATTCCACCAAACTGCAGTCCATACATACATGTATCATTATTTAATGAAATAAATCAGCCAACTTCGTTCCTAGACATAAAATGGTATTTTAAATCATTTTAATTCAATATCAGCCTTGCCTACAAACGGTAGGCCTACCTTTTTTATTCATTTCAAAAGAACTGTTTGACGTCCCGTTCACTGGCCATCTGTCGGTTTCCGGACGTACTGCGCCTGCGCCGCCATCCAGAGTTCAGATCGGCCATGTCGCCGACATCCACGTCCTCCTTCAGCGAGTGTCCGCGGTTGGTGCTCTGGTATAGGGGAAGGGGATAGTCCAAGTAATCTGTAAAATAAATATGCTTTTAAATTTTTTTTTTAATCCAACAGAATGGATGAGTGTGCATGCCAGTTTTTCATTGCTGTGGTCAAAGTGAAAAGCTCCCGATTGGTAACATATTTCAAAATATCAATTACAATTTTGCGTGCTGGTCCTTCCCTTTCAGATACATAAGGTATTCCAAATGTAACCGATGACTTATGGACTTTCTATTATAGAATGATTTACTTTTTAAGTCAATCTGAGATCGATTAAGGAAAGATTAGAGTATTGTACTGGTGTCTTTAGTGTATGCACCGTTCGTAGTTTGTTACCAACAATTAAAGAACACTCTATCTTACAAGAGATGAAAGGGACAAGATTTTCCGGAGTAAGTCCGCCCAGGTGCAAAGTGTAATAGTGGGTGAAATGATATCGACACCTAGCATACATGTAGCACGAGGGAATTTAATTTTAATACGACCTTAAAGAGATAATAACTTTTCGTTTTGGCCAAAAAATGAATTTTCCTGGAGTAAACAACAATTTTCCCATACTTACCAATGGTTAATGAATCCATTTTTACATTCAAAGTTAGTCCTTGGTTTTTTTTCTAAAAAGTTTGTTTTTTGTTATGATCTCTTAAGAGATTATAACAGAGTATAGCCATCAATGGAGGTCATGTGGTCTAAAGACAAGCTCAGATATCAGCATAATAGCCATAACTGCAGTTTTTGTGGTAAAACAGAATATATTATATTTCTATGAGTTGTTCACAATGTTTTGATTGTGAAATATAGATCTCATTCGAAGAGTTATTATCCCTTTAACGTAAACCAAAGGCCAAGGGATCATTTTCAAACCACCAGTCCTGAGAGCGTGATATTTATAATAGGTTACGAAACAAACATCTTTTTTCTTTAGCATTCCCTTGTATTGAGTTTCCGTAACGTTAACTTGATAACCAATCAGCAAGTTGAAAATACATTAAAATACAGATATAACAAATAATTGTCATTTCAAAAAGTGTAAAGAACTTACTTCTCTTCCTTTCGACATTTTCCGCCTCAACTGTCAATAACACAGTCAACGTCAGGATTACAAGACAGCAGATCTCGGACAATCTTGCCATTGGAAGTTCGTGTCAATTACCAACTAGGTGTCTCTAACGCTTGTTCTCTTCAGCTGAAGTATAGCCGCCTGTAACAACGGCGATTACCAGCTCTCTTTATATATACCGTAGCGAGGTTCATTCGACATCGTGCAGCATAATTCTCCGTAAGGTAAAAATTATAACGGCCGGCTGAGCCGTGTAATTTTGATTGAAAATCTTACTTGGTGATTATATTTGAACAATTCTAAATAGCTACAGCAATTGATGCGTTCGGTCAGATATGCGTATAAAAAGATTTTTGTATATTATACATATTGTAATTTCTACGTTGTATTAGTTCAACTGACTGCTTAGATATCTTATTATTTCACGAGAGTAAGTACACCCTGGAGTCGTATTACTTTAAATCAGATAATTGTAATAGCGAAATGATCTGCAACCGCCGTTAATGAAGTGAGTAACTTTTTATTTTAAGCCGTAGTTTCAAGCCAAACAGACCTTGAAAAAAACATAAATGAGGAGAAAATTAATTTGGAAAATCAAGCCAGTGATGGGTTGAATTTCGTGGTAACTAGAACCTACTCGAAAAAAGAAACCTCTTAAACGTCGTGTCATGCATCAAGTTGAAATAATAATAATAATAATAATAATAATAATAATAATAATAATTAGTACCGACCGGATGGCCTTGTGGTTAGAGTGTCCGCCTCCGGAGCGGGAGGACGTGGGTTCAAATCCCGTCCGGGGACATACCAGTCCTTTATAAACCGTACCTGCTGTCTCCCCGCTTGGCACTCAGCATAAAGGGGTTGAAGCAGGGGCCTGGTCAGGCAGGGTAGAAATGTTATATTAGCTATGAGCGCCTTATATGGCAGCCGAGCTGTATGCTCCCCAGGGAGGTGAGACCGCGTACGGAGTGCACCAGTGCAAAAATGACCAGGCTTCCTTGACTTAAATATTCATATATGTAATTGTATAACTTCAACCTTCGGGTTGCGATTTCTCCAATAAAGATTATTATTATTGTTATTATAAATAAATAAATAAAAAAGTGGGGTCGTCTTATATATGCTCTCCACGCCTATAAATTCTGCTAATATATATTTATTCTAAATCGCCAACTGCAGCTAATGGAGGCATGTGAATTCTTCCCACCCAAAACAGTGGGCGATGTGCTGCAAAACTTACTGGGAAGTCTGTTAAAGAGGTAATACACATTAGAAAATGAATAGGGCATGGGATGAAATGAGATAATCAGAATTCATGCGAACGTGAAAGTGAAATGCACTTAGATTTTTTCTGAGATTGCACCGCCGTTTTAATGTCACAGCCGAACAGGGAAGGTTTCCAGTCATAGGGGTTAAATATGTGCGTACCTGCACGCGCGCGCGCGCGCGCGCGCGCGTGTGTGTATGTGTTGGTGGGGGGGGGGGGGGCACAATTGTGTTCGTTGTCACAGCTAGTGCAATGCTGTATGTGGTGACATACGGAACAGCGGCACTGGGGTATAAGTGCTGTATGTAAACAAGGTAAAATTTGGTTGAATTTCAAGGAAGACGATTTTGGTAAAAAGTTAAGAGATTATCTCAAATGCACTGGCACACTATACGCGTTTGAGAATTGCCCAAAATTCCATTTTCTGTCCTCATCTTCCTTATCTTCCTAATTCAGACCTAAAAAGCTATACCCCCCAAAAAAATAAATAATAAATAAATAAATAAATAAATAAATGAATAAAGGTATTTGACGTCGACAGAGCCTTCTGAAATGTTCTGTAAGACATGGTTTTCTTAATGACTGTTCAGCTTCTCGCAAACAGAAACTAATGTCGTCTCTGATAATTAGAAACTAGAATCGTTTATGCGTAGGGGGAGTGCAGGGAGGGGGGGGTGACCTATGCCGTCGAACAATTTGATAGTTCGCGGAGTAAAAAACCCGGACTCTCCTTGGTGTCTTGCCTTACTGTACGGTGTTTTTTTTTATAAGATTTAATCTTATTTTCAAAACCTGGCATCAAGAAATTAAATTGGTTGATGAATGGGTCAGGGGAAGATGGCTAGCTGGTCAAATGATGAATCCATGGAGGTTCCTGGGTGTCAAGAAGCAATAAATGTCAATGATCGTATAATAATAATAATAATAATAATAATAATAATAATAATAATTATAATAAAATTAATAATAATAATAAATATAATTAGGAAGACGAATTATCTTTCTCATCTACATGTTTATATTTCACAGAACACTGTGAAATGCACCGTTTCCAATTTCGTCAACCAATCAGAAAAAAAATCATTAATACATAAATTCGAGATTAAAATGATCGATAGAATAGAATCAAAAGCAACGTATGGACTACCGGCATGAACACTCCAGCTACGATGCCAAATCAAAGTTTATTTCTTAAAACGTCGATATTAGACATAATATCATGAAAACATCTAAGCATCTAAATCTTGACCCTCGATAATGTAAAGTATTCTGCGATGGCCGTCCCAACATTTCTTGGTCCCGGTGCCGTCGCAGATGTCGAAGTAATAGACCCACTTGTTTCTGCGTTTGTAGGCCTTGAGCCTCAAAGAGTGAGAGTGTCCCATGGACTCGCTTGTCACCACGAACATGTACTTGCCTTGTTTCAGTTCCTAAAAAATATGAATCAAAATCAATTTTTAAGAAATTTGACGATGATACCATCTTTTGAAATATACAGTAAGGCATCTGTTTAAAATGTGTTTAAAATGACTGTTTCAAACCCAACTCTGGCGACCAGAAACTAGTGTTGATCTTAAAACCCGACTGTGATTCTCAGAAGTTTTACTTTGGTTTAATAAAATTTAATCTAAAAATCACAACAGCGGACTAACAGATCCGCGGACTAAATATGGCTGATCCACTTAAAAGCAATACTGCTTATTCCCTGATGGCCTCCCCGCCTCCATACAGGCCGACACTGCAGGGGCCTAGCAATTAAAACTCGGAGCCGATAATTCATCAATTTGATGGCGCGTGTAGAGGCGGGGAGACCATCAGGAGATTCGGACGATTTGCTTTTTAGTGGGGTCGGCCATATTTAGTCGGCGGATCAGTTAATCCGTGAATCATCTGTTCTTAATGCACTTAATGCGACCATACCTCGATGTCTTCAGCGGACAGACGGATTGTATGAGTGTGTTCGTTCCCACTCGGCGTGGAGGTTTCCAGGAGCATATCTGAGGCCACCGTCTTGTTGAGGTTGGAAAGCATGACCGAGTTGACACCGACCGGAAGTTCGTTGTACATAGAAAGGTACCTGGGCTGTTCCATGACCAGGTCCTTCAGAGCAGACAGTTCCTTCCAAGTAGCCTGGCCTTCAGCGTGGATGGGCATGACGGGGTACCTGGAATATTTTGGGAGCATTAATAAATACAAGCATCTTGTTTATTAGTTTTTTGTGGTCATGTTTTTAGAGCTCAAATGAGAACCAGTACGACAATGGTTACATTAATATCATTTATAGGTACTAGTATACCGAGTGCACTATTGCCACTAAGGGCGCATTCAGAAACAGTTGACTAACTAGTACACGGATCAAATATGGCACCACCCGCTTGACAGCTTGCAGAGATTTAGTTGCTGTGCTCCTGCTGGAACAGCGCGCTTTGGAGGCGGGAATCCATTGTCATGTGCGCGCCATATTTGATCTGCGGACTTGTTAGTCCGTGGACCAACCGGTTGTGAAAGCGGCCTAAGATAGTACATCACCCACAGAATAAAGCATAGGGACTCCCTCACCTTGTTCTCAGGCGGCCAATACCCTCTATTTCCGGTAGCACGATCTTGGTACCAGACGAGGTTACACGTCGCACGTCGCCATTCTTATCCAAGACGCCGACAATCCCTTTAGACGTATCAGCAGAATCCTTTTCCGTGGTTGTCCCGGAGAAGAATTCGGCCGGGGTCTGGTAGTAGTATTTACTGGCAGTGCCGTTGAAAGCTCTGTCCTTTTCAATGCCACCATTTCGTCCTGCATATGTCACCACACGGGCTTCTTTCGATCCAGTTTTCCCTTTGAATTCTATGTCATAAGGGTTCCAGCGATAGAGGGGCGTCATGTAGATTACTTCTAGCGGAACGGCGTAGGTCCATCTTTGAGTGTAGGTCTTGCAAACCCTCCTTTTGCAAGATTTGACGGTCATGGGGGCGACTTGTGGTTGGGTTGTCATGGCCATGAAAATGTTGGTGTCGGCGTACCCACGATGTTGAGACGACGTACCCATGGCATCTTTATCAGTGGTGCGAAAATAGCGATGATAGTAGGCCACGTTTATGGGCTTGGAGTCTTTAGCGTAGTACTCATAGGCTGTGGATTCGAAGGCGTCATCGGTCAGGTTCCCGGCATAGTTGTTTTTACCTGGAATCTCTTCCATCAGTTGGTCCAAGAGGCCATAGCTTGAAGTGCGCTCGCTCCACGTGTTACTGTCGCGTGGGTTGATCTGGAAACGAGCGGCGCGAGACATGGAGTGGAGGCCGATTCTTCGTTTGTAGGACATACGTGCCGCCAGGTCGTCGACGACACGCAGACGATTCAGAGGGAGATCCCGTTTGAGAGGGTGGCATGCAATACGGTAGTTCCATTGCGCAACCTTGTCAGAAAATTAAAAAGCATGACAAATATTTGCCTAAGTTGACAAACAATCCAATAATTTCTCAACCCAAATTTAATAGTGTAATAGCAGTTTAACGTCACAAAGCAAAAGTCTGCTTAACAAAAGTACTTAAAATAAATGTCGACGCATTTCACAAAATTAATTCATTGCTTAATTACATTAATCTGCAAAGTGTTTGGACATATGTTTTTCATCAACAGGTGTGCTTTGAATAGATTGATCAAGTTTCCCTCCCTTTTTACTGAATAGAATGCCGGATCGCCTCCAACTCTATCCCAAAGGGGAAAAACACTGCTACATATCAAAAATTGCTTATGATCTGTAATTATCATCAAAAGTATTTTCTTAATAGATAGAAGGTGGGTTGTGGGTGGTAAGAACAAACTAGGAGCCCCCACCCCCACCCTGTTTTGAAATTTCGGGATCCGACCACATTACCTGAGGAATGGTTCCGTTCAACAAGTTCATCACGGTGGTCGGCAGATAGGCATAGTTCTCCAGGCTACTCTTTCTGCCCGTATATGACGTGAAGCGGATCTTTTCCTGAAGATCGAACCAGCTGGTAGCATCGATGTGGTGACGGTCGCTGCTGAACGGCTCATCCAAGGACTTTGAGTTGGTTGTCCAGGCGCCTTCCAAGTAACACAGCGTGGGTTTAAAGTATGGCCTAAAATTGGAAATATGTATTGCATTTGGTTGTCATTGAAATGCTTTTCATCAGGTCTGATTTAGTGATTCTGACAAAGTTTGAAGTGTGTTTGCAATGGTGGGATGCAGACCTGCTGTAGGAACATAACCTCAAAGGAGTACTACAGAGACCCAGATTTGGTTGTCCAGCAACGTTCCTACAAACAGCTGGCTAGAGGTCCCTTCGTTATGCTTTGCGCAAACACTCATTTTAGCCCAAACTGTGTCAGCGATCAGTGAAACTATAATTTAGTTTTTTGTCTCGATTCTAATTCTTTCAACCACTGCCTCTTCATTCTCCTTCGTCTTGCAACTCACCAAATTACCTATAAGATCTTCAAATCGCGCTCTCACATCCTGCTGTCTCTGAAACCACACCATTCCCTACCTGTAGTCTCTCTTTGAGTAATCCTGGTTGGCCCAAGCCTTGAACCACTCCCTCATCTCAGTGATCTGCTCCTGAACGGTGGCCTTCTTCAGAACCGCTGGGGGCACCTCGGGGAAAGGCACGTCCTCCACGGCGTGGTACGCCGTGCTGGTACGATGGGGCATCCTTAGGCCGTAATCGTTGTGGCGGGTACGGAACTCGACACCGTTCAGTACGGCAATGAATTCTCCCATACCTGAAAGTGCACCAATGAAACTGATCTCAATACATGTATGGTTGCTGAAATACATTTTTTGGTTATGCAGGAGAGAGAGAGAGAGAGAAAGAGGGAGTGGAGAGAGAAGGAAATTTGTCACAATACACGTGAATTAAACGAGCACAACATCTGCAAGACCGGATTTAGGTCACTTAGTGCCCTAAGAAATCCCGGCACCATGGCTCCCCTTTACTTATTAAAATCATATTGTTTTACACCTCTTAGTTATTCTTCTGTTTTTGTTGTTTTTTATTTGGCATATGTTTGTCATTTTCTCAATTTTTCTCAAAGCATCTGCCCTTTTTATACATATTTTTCAAACTGACAGCTTACAGTCCACTTGTATACATGAATCCTGCCCTGAACGTCAGTCTTACCGATAGTTCTGTAGTTGTTGGCGTGGTCGTGGACACTGAGGAAGCGGCTGCCTACATAGCTAGGTGCATGGTAAGGCTTTGTCCCCCCTGAAGACACTCGGATCTGAAACAGAGAAGTAGCTACCTGCATATTGCCAAGGTGTTACATGTCTGGGACCATCAACAAAAAGTTTTTTAACTTGTGTTGAAATGCAATTAACTACAGACCGGCCCCGATTTACAGAGTGAAATGTATGCATCTCGTCCACTGAGTATGGATATTAAGTATGCATGCATTAAATGTGAACAACGTAACACTTATCATTCTTTACTCAACACAAGTCTGCATACGTCTGCCGTGTTACATTTTTAGGAAAAGTAACATAACTCTGGTTAACAACTTTCTGAATACATTTTCCTCTACTGGTACATCAGAATAAAAGATAATTATTTCAGGTATGGAAGCCGTTGGGTGTTCCGACGTCGCCGATTCGCAGTTGTTTATGGTCTTGGCTCGAAAGCTATTTTAACTAATTAAGTGCCTCGTGTTGGAGCCTACGTGGAATTATATGTAAATGCTTTATAAAATTATGACAGGCTAAACATGCTTTATATGCATAAGACTAAGGTGATAGCACACGGTATATTATTCCCAAAGTTGGCTGAAACATCATGGTACTGCCTTAAAACGTCTTAACTGGTCTACAAGTGTGCCTTATGTAAGACCACAGATCAGAACAACTGTAATAGACTATAAATTTTAAAAACCGATCATGACGTTGAAATGACCGTGTGAAAACTAGCATGTGTTTTACGTGATATGTTTAAACGTGACGCAGAAGCGGGTGCGTTCGTGTCAACACCATCCCCGGCGACTGTTATCTATTTAATCTCTGTGTCATGTTCACCTGTTTGATACCAGAGTCACCCTCGGATCGAATGCGCTCCTCCATGTTCAGCTGTTGTAACATCAGCTGTCTGGAGAGGGTACCAATGGTCCCCGTCATTTGCTGCATAATAAATGAATATTAGTAGAGAAGAAATGTATTTGCCATATACCAAATTCAAACAAGAGAGTGAGAGAGAAAGAGAGAGAGAGAGGGGGGGAGGGAGGGAGAGAAAGAATCTTGTTTATTGCAATTGTTTAGTTTAACTGGCCTAAAACTAACCAAGACATTAAATCTAGAGAAAAAAATGCTGTGTTTCCTAAATAGATCACAAGACTGCACTCTAAATAGATTTGTTTCTTGCAGCTGTAGTATTTAATTGGCATAAAACTAACCAAGACATTAAAGCTAGAAAATAAATTCTGTGTTTCCACTCTAAATCACAAGACTGCAATATAAATGTTTTTCCAGATTTAGCTCAACAGCAAATTCATACATAACGCACACCATCAGATCACCATACCTCCACAGTTTTCTTCAATTCATTCATTTGGTCCACGACACTCTCCAGTGTTGGCGGGGCCTTGGTGGTCACTGGTTTCCTGGCCGCCTGGGCCATGGCCAGCACTACACACAACGCCAACAGCTTCATGGTGACAAGGATGAACCTAAACAAATGAATTAAAATAATAATAACTGATCTGTTCCCGTAAAACTGAACACAGCTGATAGGAGTGAACCCTATTCGTGGGCCAATCATTTCTATCATTCATACATAGATTGGCGAGCGAAAACTTTTCATACACAGATGAATGATTAATATTCATACAAATAGAGGTAAAACGAAATATAAACTCCCAGGCTTTACAGACATCATGTAAATATAGAGGTTAAACGAAATATAAACCACCATATATAAGACATAAAGTTGACAAAATTATGATACAGAAGATGTGCACTGGAAGCGAAAGCACACATCAAATATGAGCAATATTGGTATTTGATAAAATAGAAAACGAATCTTCTGAAGGCGAAACACAATTGTCTTTATATATGCAAGCATACTTCACATCCATGTTTGCCAGAAACAATAGTTGTACTCCAGAATGTCTTTTTGCACAAAATTATTTTAGTTCAAAAAACAACTGCTATGAATGTATCTAGAACTAAAGAATGGACCAAATTACTCGTCTAAAAATTTAGAACAGGTTTTCCTGCTAAACCGGCATTGGCCCTATTATGCTCTTGCTATTTCATATATATCAAACATCTTTCAGCATATCTGACAACTACAAACTTACGTGGACCACGACAATGACACCAATCGTCGAAGTGAGTTAAGCATGTCACATATGTACTGTACAGTCTGCCGACTTCGGGCAATTCCGTTCTGCGCCAAACGTGAGATGATTGGTTATTGGAAATACGGAATCAGCCGAGTGGCCATGACATAACACACGGGTAAAGGTTGTGTTATAGGACAAAGGCGAAAAATCAGACCACGTGCGTGAAAACAACAGATGCGCTGAGGAGGAAGAACTCTGCACATGAGGAAGGGAGGATAAATTTAGAACAAAAGATGACGAGTTTGGGTGAGAAGTCGAATAAAAAACATCACGTTGTTTCGCTGGAAATACCCTGGAAATTTGACAACCCAACTTGTTCCAAACCTTTGCAAAATTTATCTTCATTTGCAAGACAATTAAAATAAAATGTGTGATAGCAATCAGCACCCCTTTTAGTGTTCTCGATTTTGAGCCTCAGGAGTTGGCACCGTTCAAGTCGCGTTTCAAGTAGTAACTTTTCATTGAAATTGTGTTATTTTCAGTTATGGGTCTTCAAGTTATAATAAATCTGCCAATGTATTTGATAAACTGCAAATATCATTCCTTTTACAGTTTATGGTCTGGTTTAAACTGGTTTACTTTAGTAGTTTATCTGGATTGTCATTTTTCTAGTTTCAAGCTATCAAGATTAGCGGGGGGGGGGGGGGGGGGGGGGGTGAGCGTTGGCCGTTTTACCTGAATGACACATTAAGATACAGAGACGCAGCCATTCTGTAGTTGTTTTCAGATGTTCAGAGTTGACCTCTCACGGTGACTGCATGTTTATAACAAAAAATATAGTTTTACACTTAAAATGTTAATAAAATAAAATGTTGAAGGATCATATGAGAATTAAATAAAGCGATTTTAAAAATGATATGAATGATATGAAATGCCAGAACTTAAAAGTATAAATATCACCTTTATTTTTAAGGGGCACATTGGATAAATGAGTAACTAAAACGGCCGGCTTAACTAAATTTCTAATTGCTGCAATGGCACGTGTGTTAATATCGAGAAAATTATCGTTTGAAAAATTTAAGGAAGGACTCTAATAACTGATAAATGGAGAAGAAAGTTATTTATTATTTCATCCACTCTGTCGTAAAAAAATTAGTGCACTATTGTTATGAAAGTCAAGAGTGACAGGAATCGCAGTCCGTGTCCCATTACTTTGTACAGGTGACATCCGTCCCATATACTAAACATATACTAACCCCAATACTCCAACTAACCCTAACCTGTACTAATCATATGGAAGCCCGGACTTCCATTCCCAGGACTTCCATTCCTGTCACACCGGCACATAAACTCTAAAATCCTCACTCGCAATCATCATTTTTTATTGATACTAAAAATGCAGCACATACCGTACCACCATCGTGTTATAATTTAAATGATTGAGAGATTATGTCACTGTAAAAAGTCCAACGTCTTGGTATGGATTGTAATTAATACCTATGACAGCTTGCAGCTTACCAAATACAAATAGTAGTACGTGTTACAAATAATCACGCTATAATTAATGTATGTTTCTCTATCTGCCTGATACAAAATTTCTGTACCTCTTCCTATACATCTCTCCCATCTAAACAATACACAAAAAGTTATAAAGCATACACAGTGATTGTCATTTAAAGAAAAGGCTTTGGTTAAAAACAAGTTTGGCCAACTCTACTCGCCTCTAATTTCTTCCGAATTACGTGGTTCCCAAATTATATTTGAACATTCAGTTTGATTTGCAATCGCGCACAAGAAGCCACAGAAAGGCCTCGGCCATGTCTTTATGTCATGACCGTATCATTTAGTGAATCCTCTTTCAATTACAGATGCTTTTTTTTTTTTATTTAGCAAAGTCTACAGCTTTGTCTACAGTTTTGCGACATGTACTGTCTTCGAGACGTGCAGAGACCTCTATCGGCCCAATATCCACAGAAGAATTTGCCGCGCACGTCGGTACAACTGGTTCCACCTTCACCGCCGCCTTCACCCGTCTTTATGTTAGCTGCAATGAAAATTAACAAAGCCTTATTTAATAATGTAATTTTGACAGTGTTTTTATGATATCGTTATGTGATCCGTGACTGCAGCGATTCAAAGAACGTCTTATGGGTGTACAAATGCATCAGGAATTAGTCAAGTAAATAGGCAGTTTTAGTAAATCATTCCAAGTTAAGCACAACATATGCCTTTGCATTGCGACTGATTTTCCTATGTGTACGTTTGTGAAGGATCACCGTCTAAAAAGAATAGCCACTTTTGCACACAGTGCAATCCTGCTCGTCTTATCCATAAACAATTAGGACAAGCTGTTCTCTGGTCATACCTAAGTTAATTTAGCTTCAGTACAAACGTTTACCCATGTATCAAATTCTACCAAAAACTTACTGGAGCACTGCCGACAGCTCAGTCGACAGAAGCGCAGCATATACCGTGGGTTCCTAGTACACTCTCCTCTTCTTGCCCAGGAGGGACACCTGCCGTTGGAATCCCGACAGTCTGGAAGAATTAAAAAATTAAAAAAAAACTTTTTGCAATAATTACTGAATCTATATCTGCTTTAATTATTCTTGTCATATTATTTGTATGAATAAAGAGATATGCAACATCAACATTGATTCATGAACCAGATAACCATTAAGTGTGAAATATACATACTATTTCCAGTGCCACCTCCGGTGCCCCCTCCAGTGGTGCCTCCCCCAGTGCCTCCGCCAGTGCCCCCTCCGGTACCTCCGCCAGTGCCTCCTCCGGTGCCTCCCCCAGTGCCTCCGCCAGTGCCTCCACCAGTGCCTCCGCCAGTGCCTCCTCCGGTGCCTCCCCCAGTGCCTCCCCCGGTTCCGCCGTTTCCATTGCAATTCATTTTCAATACTTGAGCTTCCTCCGGTCCTGAATATAACCCAAAGAGCACAATCACACCCTGTTAGATTAAATGGCAATTTGGTCCAAGCGCAGGACATTGCAGTTTCTTAATATTGTGTCTACGCGATCTAGCTGTACAACAATAACAACTGTTGCTGTGCACTTATTGTACATGTACGACAAAACAATATTAGAATCTAGCTTTTTTTTTCGGCACCACCACCACAACGATATGTCAGACAGTGTTTGGCAAGGACAATGTAGTGTTAAAAATACATTCCTCTTTGTGAAGTCTTTTAAATGAAAAGAACTGGGATTCTGTTTACGAATACAAAAATTAATGAGAACCGTTTATACTTCTTGCACTAGCTAAAGAACATTTCAATACGCACTTTGTAATAAAAATCAATTTAAACAATTCAGTGAAGCAAAGTGACTTTATCACAATAAACAGACATATGAAAAAAATAAAAATAAAAATTCAGATGTACTGTTTTTATTGTGAAACGTACTTGTTGAAAAGTTCTACGCCACCGCAACATCCAGTTTAAAAACATTTTAAGAATTCTAATTAGAAAATGCTGTCCAGATTGCCAATTTGTTCATTGCTTACCTCTGCTTCCGCACTTTTTAATATAAGTATTATCGCATGGGAAGACTTCTTTGACCAGATTGTACAGTGTTGGGTCGTAGTTCCTCAGTTTTGCCCTGGTATCTATAGGTCCGTGGATACCATTTGGCCGCGCAGAGAAGACGTGAGTGTTCAAGTAACTCTGGGTGCCCTCCGCCTGGAACGGAACCATTCAAATGTATAGTACAAGCTCTAGACAGAATGTGGAAACATATTACATAAATGGTAGTTATTAGAGGTCTGAATCACAAATTTCCGCCCCTTGTTCACCCCTTCCCCCGACACTTTGGACCAATGTCGTTTCAGAGCAAAAGTTGTGANCAGGTCTGATTTAGTGGTTCTGACAAAGTTTGAAGTGTGTTTGCAATGGTGGGATGCAGACCTGCTGTAGGAACATAACCTCAAAGGAGTACTACAGAGACCCAGGTTTGGTTGTCCAGCTGGCTAGAGGTCCCTTCGTTATGCTTTGCGCAAACACTCATTTTAGCCCAAACTGTTTCAGCGATCAGTGAAACTATAATTTAGTTTTTTGTCTCGATTCTAATTCTTTCAACCATTGCCTCTTCATTCTCCTTCGTCTTGCAACTCACCAAATTACCTATAAGATCTTCAAATCGCGCTCTCACATCCTGCTGTCTCTGAAACCACAGCATCCCCTACCTGTAGTCTCTCTTTGAGTAATCCTGGTTGGCCCAAGCCTTGAACCACTCCCTCATCTCAGTGATCTGCTCCTGAACGGTGGCCTTCTTCAGAACCGCAGGGGGCACCTCGGGGAAAGGCACGTCCTCCACGGCGTGGTACGCCGTGCTGGTACGATGGGGCATCCTTAGGCCGTAATCGTTGTGGCGGGTACGGAACTCAACACCGTTCAGTACGGCAATGAATTCTCCCATACCTGAAAGTGCACCAATGAAACTGATCTCAATACATGTATGGTTGCTGAAATACATTTTTTGGTTATGCAAAAGAGAGAGGGGGGGGGAGAGAAGGAAATTTGTCACAATACACGTGAATTAAACGAGCACAATATCTGCAAGACCGGATTTAGGACACTTAGTGCCCTAAGAAATCCCGGCACCATGGCCCCCCCTTTACTTATTAAAATCATATTGCTTTACACCTCTTAGTTATTCTTCTGTTTTTGTTGTTTTTTATTTGGCATTTGTTTGTCATTTTCTCAATTTTTCTCAAAGCATCTGCTTTTTTTTTTTTCAAACTGACAGCTTACAGTCCACTTGTATACATGAATCCTGCCCTGAACGTCAGTCTTACCGATAGTTCTGTAGTTGTTGGCGTGGTCGTGGACACTGAGGAAGCGGCTGCCTACATAGCTAGGTGCATGGTAAGCCTTTGTCCCGCCTGAAGACACTCGGATCTGAAACAGAGAAGTAGCTGCCTGTATATTGCCAAGGTGTTACATGTCTGGGACCATCAACAAAAAGTTTTTTAACTTGTGTTGAAATGCAATTAACTACAGACCGGCCCCGATTTACATAGTGAAATGTATGCATCTCGTCCACTGAGTATGGATATTAAGTATGCATGCATTAAATGTGAACAACGTAACACTTATCATTCTTTACTCAACACAAGTCTGCATACGTCTGCCGTGTTACATTTTTAGGAAAAGTAACATAACTCTGGTTAACAACTTTCTGAATACATTTTCCTCTACTGGTACATCAGAATAAAAGATAATTATTTCAGGTACGGAAGCCGTTGGGTGTTCCGACGTCGCCGATTCGCAGTTGTTTATGGTCTTGGCTCGAAAGCTATTTTAACTAATTAAGTGCCTCGTGTTGGAGCCTACGTGGAATTATATGTAAATGCTTTATAAAATTATGCCAGGCTAAACATGCTTTATATGCATAAGTCTAATGTGATAGCACACGGTATATTATTCCCAAAGTTGGCTGAAACATCATGGTACTGCCTTAAAACGTCTTAACTGGTCTACAAGTGTGCCTTATGTTAGACCACAGATCAGAACAACTGTAATAGACTATAAATTTTAAAAACCGATCATGACGTTGAAATGACCGTGTGAAAACTAGCATGTGTTTTACGTGATATGTTTAAACGTGACGCAGAAGCGGGTGCGTTCGTGTCAACACCATCCCCGGCGACTGTTATCTATTTAATCTCTGTGTCATGTTCACCTGTTTGATACCGGAGTCTCCCTCGGATCGAATGCGCTCCTCCATGTTCAGCTGTTGTAACATCAGCTGTCTGGAGAGGGTACCAATGGTCCCAGTCATTTGCTGCATAATAAATGATAATTAGTAGAGAAGAAATGTATTTGCCATATACCAAATTCAAACAAGAGAGTGAGAGAGAAAGAGAGAGAGAGGGAGGGAGGGAGGGAGAGAGGGAGAGAAAGAATCTTGTTTATTGCAATTGTTTTGTTTAACTGGCCTAAAACTAACCAAGACATTAAAGCTAGAGAAAAAACTGCTGTTTCCAAAATAGATCACAAGACTGCACTCTAAATAGATTTGTTTCTTGCAGCTGTAGTATTTAATTGGCATAAAACTAACCAAGACATTAAAGCTAGAAAATAAATTCTGTTTTTCCACTCTAAATCACAAGACTGCAATATAAATGTTTTTCCAGATTAAGCTCAACAGCAAATTCATACATAACGCACACCATCAGATCACCATACCTCCACAGTTTTCTTTAATTCATTCATTTGGTCCACGACACTCTCCAGTGTTGGCGGGGCCTTGGTGGTCACTGGTTTCCTGGCCGCCTGGGCCATGGCCAGCACTACACACAACGCCAACAGCTTCATGGTGACAAGGATGAACCTAAACAAATGAATTAAAATAATAATAACTGAGCTGTTCCCGTAAAACTGAACACAGCTGATAGGAGGAGTGAACCCTATTCGTGGGCCAATCATTTCTATCATTCATACATAGATTGGCGAGCGAAAACTTTCCATACACAGATGAATGATTAATATTCATACAAATAAAGAGGTAAAACGAAATATAAACTCCCAGGCTTTACAGACATCATGTAAATATAGAGGTTAAACGAAATATAAACAGCCATATATAAGACATAAAGTTGACAAAATTATGATACAGAAGATGTGCACTGGAAGCGAAAGCACACATCAAATATGAGCAATATTGGTATTTGATAAAATAGAAAACGAATCTTCTGAAGGCGAAACACAATTGTCTTTATATATGCAAGCATACTTCACATCCATGTTTGCCAGAAACAATAGTTGTACTCCAGAATGTCTTTTTGCACAAAATTATTTTAGTTCAAAAAACAACTGCTATGAATGTATCTAGAGCTAAATAATGGACCAAATTACTCGTCTAAAAATTTAGAACAGGTTTTCCTGCTAAACCGGCATTGGCCCTATTATGCTCTTGCTATTTCATATATATCAAACATCTTTCAGCATATCTGACAGCTACAAACTTACGTGGACCACGAAAATGACACCAATCGTCGAAGTGAGTTAAACATGTCACATATGTATTGTACAGTCTGCCGACTTCGGGCAATTCCGTTCTGCGCCAAACGTGAGATGATTGGTTATTGGAAATACGGAATCAGCCGAGTGGCCTTGACATAACACACGAGTCAAGGTTGTGTTATAGGACAAATGCGAAAAATCAGACCACGTGCGTGAAAGCAACAGATGCGCTGAGGAGGAAGAACTCGGTACATGAGGAAGGGGGGATAAATTCAGTACAAAAGATGACGAGTTTGGGTGAGAAGTCGTATAAAGGACATCACGTTGTTTCGCTGGAAATACCCTGGAAATTTGACTACCCGATTTGTTCCAAACCTTTGCAAAATGTATCTTTATTTGCGAGACAATTAAAATAAAATGTGTGATAGCAATCAGCACCCCTTTTAGTGTTCTAGATTTTGAGCCTCAGGAGTTGGCACCGTTCAAGTCGCGTTTCAAGTAGTAACTTTTTATTGAAATTGTGTTATTTTCAGTTATGGGTCTTCAAGTTATAATAAATCTGCCAGTGTATTTGATAAACTGCATATATCATTCCTTTTACAGTTTATGGTCTGGTTTAAACTGGTTTACTTTAGTAGTTTATCTGGATTGTCATTTTTCTAGTTTGAAGCTTGGCCGTTTTACCTGAATGACACATTAAGATACAGAGACGCAGCCATTCTGCAGTTGTTTTCAGATGTTCAAAGTTGGCCTCTCACGGTGACTACATGTTTATAACAAAAAATATAGTTTTACACTTAAAATGTTAATAAAATAAAATGTTGAAAGATCATATGTGAATTAAATAAAGTGATATTAAAAATGATATATTTTTATTGAAATGCCTGAACTTAAAAGTATAAATTTCACCTATATTTTAAAGGGGCACATGGGATTAATGAGTAATTAAACGGCCAATTTTAGGCTTAACTAAAGTTAATTTCTAATTGTTGCTATTTCTTTGCTGCTCGGCATAAAATTTACAGTGGCACTAGTGTTAGTATAGAGAAAAATCTATACATATTGTTTATCGTTTGAAAAAATTAAGGAAAGACTCTTATAATTTACAAATGAAGAAGAAAGATATTTATTATTTCATCCGCTCTGTCGTGCAAAAATCAAGTGTAGTCTTCCGCTCCAGCCATACAGTGCACTATTGTCAGGAAAGTCGTGCGTGACAGGAATCGCAGTCCGTTACCCATTACTTTGTACAGGTGACATCCGTCCCATATACTAACCCCGACTAACCCTAACCTGTACTAACCATATGGGACCCCGACTTCCATTCCTGTCACACCGGCACATAAACTCTCAAATCCTCACTCGTAATCATCATTTTTATTGATACTCAGAATGCAGCACATACCGTACCGCCATCGTGTTATAATTTAAATGATTGAGAGATTATGTCACTGTAAAAAGTCCAGCGTCTTGGCATGGATTGTTATTAATATCTATGATAGCTTGCAGCTTAGCAAATACGTATACAAATGGTTATGTTACAAATAATCTCGATATAATGTACCTTTCCCTATCTGCCTGATACAAAATTTCTGTCCCTCCTCCTGTATATCTCTCCCATCTAAACAATACACGAAAAAGTTATAAAGCATACACAGTGATTGTCATTTAAAGAAAAGGCTTTGTTTTAAAAAAAAAGAGTTTTACAACTCTACTCGACTCTAATTTCTTCCGAATTACGTGGTTCCCAAATTATATTTGAACATTCAGTTTGATTTGCAATCGCGCACAAGAAGCCACAGAAAGGCCACGGCCATGTCTTTATGTCATGACCGTATCATTTAGTGAATCCTCTTTCAATTACAGATGCTTTTTTTTTATTTAGCAAAGTCTACAGCTTTGTTTACAGTGTTGCGACATGTATTGTCTTCGAGACGTGCAGAGACCTCTATCGGCCCAATATCCACAGAAGAATTTGCCGCGCACGTCGGTACAACTGGTTCCACCTTCACCGCCGCCTTCACCCGTCTTAATGTTAGCTGCAATGAAAATTAACAAAGCCTTATTTAATAATTAAAAATTTGACAGTTTTTTTTTATAATATCGTTATGTGATCCGTGACTGCAGCGATTCAAAGAACGTCTTATGGGTGTACAAATGCATCAGGAATTAGTCAAGTAAATAGGCAGTTTTAGTAAATCATTCCAAGTTAAGCACAACATATGCCTTTGCATTGCGACTGACTTACAAATGTGTACTTTTGTGAAAGATCACTGTCTCGAAAGAATAGCCACTATAGCACACAGCGCAATCCTGCTCGTCTTCTCCATAAATAATTAGGAAAAGCCGTTCTCTGGTCATACGGTCCGAACTAAATTAGCTTAGCTTCAGTACAAACGTTCGCACGTGTATCAAATTATACCAAAAACTTACTGGAGCACTGCCGACAGCTCAGTCTACAGAAGCGCAGCATATACCGTGGGTTCCTAGTACACTCTCCTCTTCTTGCCCAGGAGGGGCACCTGCCGTTGGAATCCCGACAGTCTGGAAGAATTAAAAAATTGGTGTTAATTACACTTTTTGCAATAATTACTGAATCTATATCTGCTTTAATTATTCTTGTCATATTATTTGTATGAATAAAGAGATATGCAACATCAACATTGATTCATGAACCAGATAACCATTAAGTGTGAAATATACATACTATTTCCAGTGCCACCTCCGGTGCCCCCTCCAGTGCCTCCTCCAGTGCCTCCCCCAGTGCCTCCGCCAGTGCCTCCCCCAGTGCCCCCTCCAGTGCCTCCGCCAGTGCCCCCTCCGGTACCTCCGCCAGTGCCTCCTCCGGTGCCTCCCCCAGTGCCTCCCCCGGTTCCGCCGTTTCCATTGCAATTCATTTTCAATACTTGAGCTTCCTCCGGTCCTGAATATAACCCAAAGAGCACAATCACACACTGTTAGATTAAATGGCAATTTAGTCCAAGCGCAGGACATTGCAGTTTCTTAATTGTGTCTACGCGATCTAGTTGTACAACAATAACAACTGTTGCTGTGCACTTATTGTACATGTACGACAAAACAATATTAGAATCTAGCTTTTTTTTTTCGGCACCACCACCACAACGATATGTCAGACAGTGTTTGGCAAGGACAATGTAGTGTTAAAAATACATTCCTCTTTGGGAAGTCTTTTAAATAAAAAGGAATGGGATTCCGTTTACGAAAACAAAAGTTAATGAGAACCGGTTATACTTCTTGTAGTAGCTAAAGAAGATTTCAATACGCACTTTGTAATAAAAATAAATTTAAACAATTCAGTGAAGCAAAGTGACTTTATCACAATAAACAGACATATGAAAAAAATAAAAATAAAAATTCAGATGTACTGTTTTTATTGTGAAACGTACTTGTTGAAAAGTTCTACGCCACCGCAACATCCAGTTTAAAAAACATTTTAAGAATTCTAATTAGAAAATACTGTCCAGATTGCCAATTTGTTCATTGCTTACCTCTGCTCCCGCACTTTTTAATATACGTATTATCGCATGGGAAGACTTCTTTGACCAGATTGTACAGTGTTGGGTCGTAGTTCCTCAGTTTTGCCCTGGTATCTATAGGTCCGTGGATACCATTTGGCCGCGCAGAGAAGACGTGAGTGTTCAAGTAACTCTGGGTGCCCTCCGCCTGGAACGGAACCATTCAAATGTATAATACAAGCTCTAGACAGAATGTGGAAACATATTACATAAATGGTAGTTATTAGAGGTCTGAATCACAAATTTCCGCCCCTTGTTCACCCCTTCCCCCGACACTTTGGACCATTGTCGTTTCAGAGCAAAAGTTGTGGTAACTTGAACTGTGAAAAGCAAATATTTTATATGTAAAGCTCAATACTGGTACATGTCTGCATAAACAAATAAAACAAATTTTCTTCCCATCTTAAAATGTTAATTCCAAATACCAACAAGAAAAAAACCCTAAGCATTATCAGAATTATAATGCGTAAATATCATATATAAAAAATATGCGATATAAAGTTAAAGTTAAGATATGAAGTTAAGAGAAACAACTTACAAAATACTCCTCTTTAGTACTCAAAGAATACGTATTGGCCCAGAGTCCACGTCTCCTGGCGCTGTTAAAAGCGGCAATTAGCCTCCTCTCGAACCCTGGGATGGCGTACCTGGCTCCCAAGATGTGGGTCCCATGGATATACTCGTGGAGGTTGATGTCATCGGGGCGCCACCGGTCGCTGCTGTAACACAGGGCGTTTTCCTCCCCTACGGTGGACACAGGTGCGCTCTCCGTGCCACCTAGGCCACGTGCCCGCGTGTTCCAGAAGGAGCCGAGGAAGGAGTGTTCTGGGATGCTGTTGGTATTCTGGAAAAAACTGCTGGAAGTCAAAGATTGTACCACAACCGATACCTTCTTATTTGATCTTCCTTTATTTCAGGTCCGTTGAATATTGCGTCTGTGGTCAGTATAATTATACCGTTTTTGGACGTTAGGGGCCTTATATTGGGCAAACATATATCCAAAAATGATCAGCGTTTGTTTTTCAAACATGCCAAGATCTTTATACAAGATGGAGCTGTGTGAAATAAGTGGTGTATCTTTGACAAATATTTCGAGGAGAAATGTTCGTATTTACTTGGAGGTATTATTTTTGAGTAGCCATAAATATTAACATTGTGTGGAAATTCGCTCCTCACCTCCCTGGCGCCAATCAACGCAAAGCGTCCTGATCTCTTGTACAAGGAGTTCCTGACATCGTATCGATCAGCCAATAAAAAGCGGACAACATAGCAAGCCCGACGCAGAGCTTCATCCGGTACATTTCTAGATGCTAAATTGTAAACGAAAGTTTATTTTATAAATGAAAGAGGGGACAATCGGTATAGTTCACTTAAAACAAATGAGTATATGGAAAAGGTTTGAAACATAAACGCAAAATAAAGAAAAAATAGCATCTAAAACAAAAAAATTATAAAAAAAATTCTAGCTTCATGCACTGCATGCTCATCTTCATTGTTCATTTTCTACTCACAAACTATGGGAACGCCATACGCTTCCGTGTACTTCTGATAGAAACTTGTCAGTCCTCGTGGTGCCATATATCTGGCACTGCGCAGTTCTCGGGGTACTGCGCGGACACGGGAACAGCTGTGGCTGTTAGTTGCAGATCCAGGACGCCCTCCTTGCATTGCCATTGCCGTGTCCATTAAGGTGGCGTTATATGGATCAGCTGGAAGGTGAAAAATATCTGGTGAACGGCTGTTAAGAACCGTTGCCCGTGTTTTAAACGGTATTTATAATAACACAACGTGATCGTGCTCGTATGTAAGTATTTACACGTTAGAGGTCCCACAATTTATTCTCACTTCTATGAAGATCAGTATGAAAAATTAAAAAAAAAAAGGTCATAAAATACGTTGATCATCTATTCATATCAACTTTAGGTTGTGAGTAATTTCATTAAACGAAGCTCCTAAAAAACAAACTGTTTTACAGCAATTTTTAAAATCATATTTTGATTAAAATTATACGTATTAGGTAAATTGGAAAGACTAGAAATTCTTCATTTGCACTTTACCGTCCAATTTCTTGCGTCAGTTAACAGATCAGTGCACATTTTAATCATTATATAATAATCGAAAGTAATTTCCACAGTCATTAAATTGGAAATTATTTATTGATGACCAGGAAACTCTTCCAATCACGTTAATTAAATTTACGGAAATTGTCACCATTTCTAAAATCAGTTTTAATATGACAAATTAACTCGAAGCATGCATGGATGACATTATAAAATTCTTTTGTAGGGAGTTTAAGCACCACCAACTATACATAAAACTGATAAAAGTGAAACAGTGAAAATGTCATTTTGTAAACTCATTCAGAACTGTTATGTTATGGCCATTTTATATTGAATAAAGTCCATGTCAAACTCAAAAGAGAAAGTTTTGCAGATTTATCAGTTATCATATTCTTTCATACTGTGCTTACTTGTTTTTTAAGGTGAACATGCGGGATTGCACACATCAGTCTGCGTAAATGTGTTATGTAAATAAAGCCCGTACTCGTCAACGTTGACGAAAGTAAAGTCACGCTTTCTAAAATACAAATCATAAGGCCTGGAGATTGTTTTCTGTTCTGTACATTACAAAGGTCATCTTAAACATCGCGTTTGGATGGATAGGTTGATATTCTGCTATCCTATATTGTACTACTTCATTGTAGATGTTCTCATTGTTAGCGGTATCCAGTAAAACACACGGGCGGGTGGTCACTTACCGTACATCTGAAGAAACGTTCCTTCATCGTCGACCCCATCAACCTCCTCACCTGCCATACTAAACATCATACCTGGAATATAAACCACATAGACATTACATGCTTGTCTTTATGAACTGGTAGTCTGGTAAAAAGAAGAATCTTTTTCCATAATCTTCACATTTTTGTTGAAAAAGTACGTTGTGAACCTTACAGATTTCATGAACCGAAACATATTAAATGAAGATAAAATCAAAAGGCACTGAAGCTTGTAAGTGCAAAACGATCTCCAACAGATAAAAACACGCTTCACATTTTGTGGTGTTTTTAAGTAAAATTAATGAAATGACTGTGCATCATAAATTAGTTTTGCCTTAACAAGAAAACTAAAAAAAGAAAAGCAAGTCGAAGTCATCATTTAATTCTTGTTAGTAAAAACAAACCCAATAAACGTAGAATTAATCACACTTACGTTCAGCATCCCCAAAACAAGCCAGTAAAGTCAAGCCTACAAAAAACACCTCGCTAATCTTGCGTACAGTCCCCATCCTGTTAACTAAGCGTTTGCGAGGTACCTGTGAACAATACCACGAGCAGAAAGCTTTTTATACTTTTTCCCGGGGTTCAGAGGTCAGATGAGTAGAAGGAAGTGCATGATCTATATTTAGTGATTCATTGATTGGTTAGGTCTCTGCACTATGACTTTGCAGAAGTACGCAGGTTTTGTTTGCTCTCGTCACTAAAACAACCGAATCACTGTGTGCAAGGTGGGAGTAAAGATGAAGAGGGGGGATTACTTGAGAGGTTTATTACAAATATGTGTACATTCATTGTGCGATCTAGGTAAAAAAAATCAGAAAGATACTGTTGTCGTGCGGACCACTTGTAGACTCGACGGTGCTCAAGGGGAAAATAAAATGACAGACGATCAGAAAATAGCATCTAAGGTTAAAGTTATGTCCTTTAAAATGTAATTGGAGTGCTATTCTTGATATTCATATTTGCCTCTCTTTTTCATTTGGTTTTATCTGATTGGTCCATTAACCGTAGTATTGAAAAAACTGTATTGCTCAAAGTGCTACAATGAGAGCTCTCAAGTTTTTCAGATTATGATGAAAGATATGATAACATTTTAGTAAGTAAGCGCTGACGTCCCTTTGGTATCCCCAGTGTTGTTCCAGAGACGTTGGCGCAACCCTGGACACGTGGTTTGAATTTGGGTGTGACGTCATTGTGACGTATCTAGTCTGTTCGCCATTATCGCCCAGCGGTTCTCAGTATAGCCTTCCCGGACGCCAGGTTTAAAGGCGTTAAACAAACAAGTATGATGGCGTTAGAGAATGTGCAATGTTATAAGCGTGCAACTGTTCAGTTGCACAATTGCACTTGGAATAATGTACCATTTTTGTTAATGCTTAAATAGCAAACACAGAGGGTAGGAGAAACCTTTTTTTACTGTATTTTAACAGCTTTCCCCCAAGCTAATATGAATGGATAGACAATGAATATACAGTAGTTACAGATTCGTCTTAGCAGCCTAATATGTCTGGAAACCAGAACAGAATCCCTCTACATAGGGGTTGAGGATAGGCAGCACTGTGTCACACAGTACAGAAAATATAATTATTAACAATGACCATGCAAAATTTGATTACACTTGTTTAGTGCTATAACCCGTGTAGGCGACATGTCCATTCATTTCTCAGGATGTCCATACAGTCACGGAGTCATACACCCGGATGATTAATGGTATTCTTACTGTAACCGCACAGTAGATTGAGACGAAGATTACCACTGCCATTTAGTGTACTTGTTCTAACTGCCGTAAAAGGAAATTTCTCTAAAGAGTATAAGGCTGAGCAATAGATAGAAGAGGGGGAATCTTGCTCTGACTGTAGCCCCTGGACCATATAGGCTGTTTTTTTTTTGTTTCATTTATTATTTTTGTTATTATTATTATTATTATTAATAATATTATTATTATATTTTATGGCCATGGCGATTTTGACGAGATTTCGGTTATTGCGATAGAGAGGCCATGGATCAAGACTGAAATTGGTCGTGCGCGTTGGGCGACACATTCTTATGAGCAGCGCAATGTACTGTTAATTTGTTTACGCTTACTCATTGATTTGTTCTCTTCACCAGCGCCGTAAGCTGCGGGGAAAGGGACACAAGTACCCCTCTGCTCCCATCCCCACCTCTCAGAGAATTTTGAAAAGGAAATCTTTCTAGCTTTTTTGAGTGTAAGCCTTTCCTTTCTCTCAGTCCATCAAATGTCTCCTACTCTTTTCTTCAATCGGCGTGTCTAAAAGAGTACTACAGCCGGTGTGACAGGGATGACAATCCGCTGAAAACCCTAGTTCGTACCTTATTACTATGTACAGGTGACATTTGACCTATATACACTATACTGACCCCAATACTCCGACTAACCCTAACCTGTTCTAAAAATATGAGACCCACGACTTTCATTCCTAGGACTACCGTTTTTTGTCACGCCGGTACAAATAACTTGCTAGCATGTATTATAAGGCTCTCTCCCCATAGATCTATGGAAATGGGGTGTAAGTCTTCAACATGTGCCCCTAATATGGCGTAAGGCAGATTGCAGTATAGAATATGATTTTGATTATATACTGGTATGACCATAAATAAACAAATGGTAAAAAATAAATTGGACTCTGAACTGACTGAGATAGCAACAGTTTATTTTTAACATTTTACTTTAATAATAATAATAATAATAATAATAATAATAATAATAATAATAATAATTTGTTGTTGGTGGTGGTTTTACTAAGGACATTTCCCCTATTTTTAATTTTTTCAATGCGTAATGGGGTGATCACTTGTTAAGTACAGAAATTTAACCTCAGTACAGAGTTAGAACTCCTAATTCTATTGTACTGTATATGCGTATCATGGTGACTCAGAGGTTTGCCAGCTTATCACAATGTGGAATGATTATCACCCAGTGCACGTATTGTTTCACAGTTTCAGCTGGGCGTCTAAATCTTATGTTACACTGATTACGGCAGAGGTATACTGATAATAGTAACATATCCAACTCAGGGTAGATGTTCAGAAATAACGCTGTCATAATTAAACGATAACTATGTTTGTTTACTCAGGGGCGATGGCTGTGTTTTCACACGCTTTTTGTAAAACGAAAATAGGCCGTTTTATAGAGAGCCTCCATTCATATGAAACTCAGGGTATTTGTACAGAAATAGCGATGTAACCAACAAAAAAATGTCTGTTTAGTTTGGGCCGATGACTGCGTTGTCACACGTTTTTTGTAAAATGAAAGTAGGTCGTTTTATAGATTTGGGATTCAGTTGATAATAAGAGAGCTTTCATCGGCCAGTCAGGTTTCACTGATAACTAACAAAATACAAGTCAAACGCATCTAATCTGTTTGGGCTGAGAAACAGTTTGATAAACTTGGCATTGTCACATAACTTTGTCAACGCATTGGTTCTGTCACAAATAACCGCAGTCCACCGGATAGAGAACAGTGTGCATGTTTGTCCTCTTGTTCTCCGGTGTGATCCTTTATTTAAAACACGCGTTGGCTAATATCAAAAACAAGGATTATAGACTACAAAACGGAAGTGGTTGACTGTTGATCATGATTATAGACGCGCCTCTGAAGTTGACACTACTTCTGTCAAGCCTGTATTTTGTTACCAGCCAGCGTACCGCCGATCGTGACGTCAGTATAACCATTGACGTCAGCCTCGACTATGACGTCAGTTCTCCCAACAACGTCACACTGGACATTGCAAAGTCTATCTTCTCTGGCCGAGGTCAACAGTACCAATATGTCCAGCATCCAGAACTATTCAAGGATGGGTCAGTATTTCTTGTGTTCTATTACATAGTTATGATGCGACTGTTATGGTTTTTAAATTCTTGGTTTAAGTGTGTCCTTTCGGACGCTACTTTTTGGCTGAGCAGAGTGATATAAAAACATTGTAAATGATCCTATCTTTTTACTTATAAGCTTTAACTTATGCTAATTCTGTCTAAGTTCACGAGCGATCATGTCTTCGGACTACCCTCAATCTTGGTATTTAAATATACATTTCCTTAATATTTATTTCTTCTTGCAGTCTAAAAAATGTCACAGACCTGTGGGTGAAATTTATCGCCGCTTTTCAGTACCAAACTCCGTGCACAGTGGATCCAAGCAACTTTAGTGATTTCGTCAATGCTGCTGCCCATGACATACCCAAAGATAAGGTCTCTCTCTCTCTCTCTCTCTCTCTCTCTCTCTCTTAAAAAAGCATATATTTAACATAAAAAAATCAGACTGCGTAGTCCACAAACCAGTGCTATTTAATAGGCATCACCCGAGATGGCCTACAAATTAACCGACAGCAATGCGAGACGCCATATCGGACCAGAAAATGTGTGTTAATCCGCGTGAAGCTCGGTCCACTGTTTAACGATAAAGGCGAAAGTCTCTGCATCGAGACTGTCACCTTACAAAGCAATTTCAAGGTGACACTGAAAACTAGTGCGTATACTAATAGACTGTACATAGATGAAACAAACAGAAAAATATCCTTGGACAAATCCCGTCGTTTTTATTCGCTGTCTCGAGACACTGAAGTCGACCATTATCTGACAGTACTTTAGTCCCTTAAGGGCTCATTCGGAACAGAAGATCCAAAGATCAACTGATCCACGGATCAAATATGGCGGACCCTACATGAAAGAAGAGCCGACTAATCAGGTCTCACCGCCTCCACACACGCCATTAAACGGATTAAATCAAGGTTATATGGTTTAATTGCTAGACCCACGCAAGGACGGCGCGTGTGGAGGCGGGGAGACCGTCAGCGGATTAGTCGGATCTTCTTTTATGCTGTGTCCGCCATATTTGATCCATGGATCAGAAGATCCTCGGATATTCTTCTTAAAGTCCCGCAAAACACGCTTGATTTTACGCGCATTCGTGAGACCTCGGGTCATCAAAAGCCCATTGTATCAGTCCGTGTGTTTAATGGCAGTGTTTCTTTCTTTTTTTTTTTTTTTTTTTACGTATCTCACGTTTTTTTCAGACGCTGTTGTGGAGTAAAACAAGAACATTAGCCAACACATATTCCCAGTCTGGAGGTAGATATTTCACCATTACAGATTCATTGTCAGGTGAGGCCTAATAATCCCTCTTCAAAAAGAGGAAGTAATTTTTCTCTGTGCACCATATAAAGAATGGGAGTGCTTTTTGAAAATTCGACCTCACAATTCCTAGGCACTGTCCTACATGCTTTTACTGACAAAAGTGAGATCTTTAATAAAACATCATATATACATCCAATTTATTCTCCATATATTTTCATATCTATAATGACCTGTCCAGATATGATTTAGGGGTTTTTTTCGGTTCATTTTTTGACATGTACGTAAGGAATCATCTCTGGGGTGACTCTGAAAATCATCAATATTGAAAATCATCAATAGTGACAATCTGACCCCTGCACCCTTATAATTACCAATAAACCACCTTTAAGACATCCAGGGAAGAGAAAAAAAATCAAACACTGCAACATAAGTTTCGACCACACCTAAATCGATGGGTTGGGAAGGTGATCTCATACAGATCTAAAGACATTTGATTTTCAAACAAGTTTCGAGGTGGTCTCACATCAACATGATTCATATATGCGAAAGATTGTTGTTGTATTTTTGCCTGTGGGACACGCTTTTAACATTATGCAAACCGAGATTATACCAGCATATGTGTGTTAGAGAAGAATTTCATCAGCTGTTTTGTGTCAAAAGAATAAAGTATATTTTATTCAATTAACAGCTTAAATTGAAATTGTTTACCCCCAACATTTATAGGTATTTTCGCCACAGGTTCTGGCACATGTAAGTCTGTACCTCAAGCTTGCGGGAATTGTATAAAATCAATAGAAGGGAGATATCAAGATTTGCACTGTCTTTTCTTTTTCTGTGCAGGTTATCTAGTGAACGACTTGGATTTTTGTGCACAAAAACAAGACCCCGGGGTGAACTTCAGATCTTGTCCCCCGCCGTCTCATAACTGCCAGAAGGGCACAGAATTATCATTTTGGCGCGAGGCGTCGAGAAAGGTAAACTGCTGTTTTCATTAACATCTTTGTTTCGGCATCAAATCGGTGAGCGGTCAACTTACCAACTGTATTATTTTTTTTTGGGGTTTTTTTTTTTAATATTGAGAAAATTTAGAAAATGATACAGAGAGAAAAGACAGAAAAGTAGAAAATTTATAACAAAATATGAGAAGTACAATATTGTATGTGGCCATCGGATTTAACGTGTAAAGCATTCGTGCCAAAAGTTCTCCGTTTCGGTATGGTGCAGCATGCTGCTGAGAGAGCTTATGGGTCCCATATGGTTATTGCAGGTTAGGGCTAGTCGGAATATTGGGGCAAGTATATGGGACGAATGTCACCTGTACAAAGTGAAGGAGAACGGCTTACGATTCCTAGCCGACTACTATTCCTATCAGACCGGGCCACCATATACTTCTTATAAGGCGTGTTCATTTTTCACTTAAAAATTAATTTTAATAAATCGTGATCTTCCAGTTTGCCGAGTTGGCCTCTGGCACTGTCCACGTGTTATTAAATGGTTCGACGATAGCGTACAGCAATGAAAGGTGTGTTCTCTCTGTATCTCTTGCTTTCCCTTCTTCTTGTCACATTCAACACGCTCAAGCGCGCATACACACACAAGTGCTTCTCTCTCTCTCTCTCTCTCTCACACACACACACACATACACACACTTACACGTTCACTATATTAGGTAACACATTCGGTGCAAGCAGTCAGCCCACACAATACAACCATTCATTCCGACTTCTGATCCATGGATTTTTTCTTCTATTTTTTATTTTTTTGCTTCAGTATTTTCTATGGCTACGAGTTGCCTAGCCTTAGAAAAGAAGTGACTGTGGTTCACGCTCTGGTAGTTCATGACCTTGGTGTCCGTGGGCGGTAAGAGTTATTTTCTAGGATGACAGTATTCACGCACCGTCACTTCAGTGCCGACGCTGAAGCATTCGACGTTTATTTCAAGTTAACGCCGTCGATAGTTTTTTTCAAGTATAACAAAGCTTCCATCATGAGATCCCATCAATCAGTTGCCTATATCTGCAAGAACTTTACGATAGATTTTTTTGATAGAATTTAGCATACACTCACGAAGATAGAAAAATTTTAAATATACACAGCTTGTGTTAATCGAAATGTTATGAATAAATTATGTTTTCCAGTGAAAAATGCGGTTCTGGAACTTTGGTCAAATTACGAGCGGACGTAGAAAAACGCGGGTTCAAGTTTCAGTGTACAGACGATCCGGAGTAAGTTGACATATTGCCTCGAGTTTTTTCTTTATTTTGATTTCTTAAACATTCTTTCAAATAAACATTTTAATTACCGTTCTAAAATTATTGTGAAAGTTGTTTTCAAGTGTGTCTTTTTAAATGTACACGGGCACACTCAATTTTTTTCGTAAGCATGGGATGATGAAAGCGAATTTGTATATATCCGTCTGTATACACTTTGGAGAAAAAACATCAGTACAATCTGTAGACCTAAGGTGTAGACCTTAAGATTATATCTGTACCTATAGATAACATAAGCATTTTTATCAATAATGTTTATAAACGCTTACATCTTCAGGGATTTGAGACATCTACTCTGTGCAGACGAACCAGCGACATCTAGCTGCCGTTTCCTTGACAACGACCACACCTCTAGCGGAAACCAAATCCAAAATGTCTTTAAAGCTTCAGCTGTAAGAGTTGTTCTTATTTACTTTTTTCTACTGGCTTTTTGTTAGACAATAAGAAACAGTTCAAATTCTCAAGTCGTGATGAACAAAACGTTCTGAAAAAAATTTTGAAAAAAAAGTACAAATATTAACATATTCTAATTGAAATTGTTTAGGTTACCCGTTACGGAAAAAAATGGATCGACCATTTTTGAAATTAAGGAAAGAAATCAAGGGGAAACTGATTCGATATAGAAGTAAACTGTCGACAGAGGTACTCGGATGCCGCATAAAAATGATTTATGGAATTTAAAGCAAATAGCGTAATTGCTATAGAGTATCAAGCCACAAGTAGGCCTACTGAATGAAACGTTTTTATTTATGAAAAGATCTTAACCAGCAGTTCTGAGGTTGTTATTTGTGATATATCACATTATTCGAAGTAGGATAGGTACCTGAACAAGTGGGCACAAAATCTACATAACAGTCAACAATTTAAAAACGTATATTTATATACATATATAACAAATTATATTTAGCTTTCTGCCAACAGGGGGTAGAGGACACAATAATAAAAAAAAAACTTTGTTCTTTTCCGATCCTTATTTAATAAAATGATCTCTGATGTTATGCTTGAAACTTATTGTGACACATTCACAACCAAGCTGGTCCATGGACTAACTAGTCTGCGGATAAACATGGCGTGCACTTGTCAATGGATTGCCGCTTCCCATGCGCGCTGTCCTAGTAGAGGCAGAGCAATTGAATATCAGCTCAAGCTCAAGTATCAAGCTTTCAAGTGGGACGTGCCATAATCAGCTGGTTTTGAAAGCACCCTTTGTTGAACCAGAAGAGGGTGAAAATGTCAATAAAACTTCTGAGCAGAATCAAAGTGAGGTAATATGAGAATCAGAAAAACTGCAAAAACTTAACTAAAAAAAAAAAAGGTACAACGCAGACCTCTGCCAAAGAGGCTCCATCCTCATTACAAACTGATTAATGGATTGATCTTCACCAAGATCGATCTGACATTTCTAAGCGAAATTGAAAATTTTACTTAACTCCATTCGTATCTTTTTTGGATAAAACTAACAAACCAAAGGAAGCAGAAACATCACTTTTTTTTGCAGGTGTGACCTGTCTCAATGCCTCTGAAGGCATCGTGTACCTCTTTACTAACCTAAACTAACCTCAACTAAACTATGCAGTAATCTATACATTTTGAAATTTAACTATATACAAGGACAACATATCAAGTTATAACTATGGTTGAAAAGTATATACAATATTCCTGATATGATATTAGTCACACAAAACAGCTTTTACATACAAATGCTTAAGAACTATAATCTTAAAATAATATCAACAGTTAAATCCTAATCTTAGTTCATAGGAAATATTAAAAAAGAAGGTCATCTGGCACCATGTCTATGATCTCTGAGACACATGATATTCTCTATAAACAGTCTCCTAGGTAACTGTAACTATGGCCTTCCCTGTACAAACAGTTTCCTAGGTAACTGTAACTAAGATCTTCCCTGAACAAACACAGTCTCCTGAGGGAAAAGACCACACTGTTTCAATGTGTCGTCAAAGTCCATGTGTGATATTTTCTTCCTAGGAAATGTTGTCACCATCTCATATCGCTCGTTTGGAAAGCCGTGTTCTTCCACAAATAGCACCAAGGCCTAAAAAGCACAATGAAAAATTAATTAATTAATTATTTAAAACAAAAAAAGTTAAATAAATATAAAAATCATTATTTATATCAAGGGAACACAGCCATGGTTCATTTCTGTTGATACATTTCGAAATCCTGATTGTAAGTATTATCCACTAATTCCAGTAGAACAAAAGAAGACAACAAAATAGTGTGAAGGGCTGTGAAAAATGTTTTGCCTATCAAATTTTTCAAAATAGAGTAGACTCCAAGAAAACTTCTCTTCAATATGGACAATTGATATCATGCACTACACTCGACCAGTAAAGTTCAAAAACATGAAATTGTTTTTCAATAATTAAAAATTATGTAACGTAGTGGGAAAATCTTCAGTGTATAAAGAAGGTAATGAATTGTGGGTGCTTTATCCATCATTATTTGGTTAAAATATTTACCTTAGCAAATATGGATAGTTTATAATTATTCAAAATAACAATGTTTTCAAACTGTCTTGGTTGAGTGAAGATCTGCTTGGATATGGAAACTTACCCTGAGTTTAGATGAACATGGGACTTCAAAGGTCTCCCTTTTGTTCTCAGGAAACCTTACAATTACTTTGGAAAGAGGGTCTGTGTCAGGTCCCAAGAAATCTTTCCATCTTTCGGGTTTACTACTCTGAGACTCTTTTATCTTTTTCTCTGCACTTCCAACAATGTTCGAGGAACTTTTTCTTTTCCTATTTTCTGCTTCTCCAGACTGAGTGTCCTGTGTGTCTTTAACTTTCCCTTTCCTTATACTATTAACCCCATTTGAGATTCCATCCGAGTTTGAGGTGGTTTTATCTTTGTTTGAACACTGTGTTTCCTCTCTCCCACTTTTTATCATGGGAGTTGAATCTTCAACATCAGAGTCTGAGAAAGTTTCCAGTTCCGAGCCACTAAATTCCTGAGAATCTGAGTCTGAGTCCAATGTCACTGTTGATGGACTGCTTTTGGTATTTCTGGATGGCCTGTCTTGATTAGATTTTAAAGATGCTTGGATAGCTGCTGCCATCTGGGAGTCTTCACTGGCATCAATGATGCTGTCCTGGAAACAGAAAAAGGTATGACTGTTAACACTCAACACTAAAATTAACAATCTGAAATTGAAATAACTGTTTTTTTTTATTCTTGATAACGGACACATGAGGTAAAAATACTTAAAATAAGTGCACTGTAATTATTTGTAAATTTATTAAATTCATTCCTTGTATAATTAATAAATAAATTAATATAACCACAGTGCACAAAAGTTTAATACTGCCTTTCAATCTTATACTTTTTAAGCTTTTTATAAGATTAAGTAGCATATTCTGTAAAAGAAAAAGAAACAGTTATTGGACTTACACTGCGTTGGACTGTCTTGGCAGGAGAGGTGGTTGCACTGCCATCTGGAGACGGGTGGTGTGTCAGGAAATCTGTGACTGGAAAATATATCAGAACGTTTTAAATACAAGCTGACCCAAGCAGTCTGCAACATATTAATTATAATTCATTTGATCAATATTAGCCTTGGCCCCATGCCAAATGGCAAGAAAAAAAATAGTATATTATCTAAATTTGTGCATGTACCAGCCATTTTTCTGTTTTGGATCAGTGGATTTTTAGACCCTGGTGTCTCAAAAGGCCAGAAGGTAAAAAAAAAAAAGCCTACTCAAGGAAAAGGGAAAACTTGATAATTTGTTCTAACATTCTCAGGCCCGTAGCAATGGGGGGTTCAGGGGGTTTGAAAGAACCGCCCCTTTTGTCAGGAAAAGGTCCATTTTGGGTAAAATTTTATCTAGGTACACATAAGTTTCATTGTAAAAGGTCCACTTTTTCAGAAAAAGAACCCCCCGTTTGAATTTGCTGGCTACAGGCCTGATTCTTTGTGTTCCCTTGAATCACCCAGTTCCACATACCTATATCACAGAAGGAAACATGGTCCACTTTACTCCACACCACCATCTTCTCACCTGGGAAAAGGAATAAAAAAAACTGCTTTTAGCTACCTTTTCATTAGACTCCCATATTAACTGTAATTAATAAAAAAAGCCACACAGTTCATATACAACATTAAGGAAAATAAAAATATAAATGAAGTAACAAGGGGAATTAAGGGGAACTTTAAAAATAATTTGAGAAACTGTAAATAAACAGGACATATCATGTTATTTAATCTAATACGATAAAATAAACTACCCCACTAATTTCAAAACTAAATAACTTTTTAAACAAGGCAGCAAAGCTGTCAAATGTACAGACAAAAAACAGAAAATAAAGATGCAAAATAGGTCATTTTGTCAATTTTGATGCAATAATAAATAATGCTCATAATAGCACTGTCAGTCAACACTGAATTTTAATCATGCACAACAGGTAAAATGGTCAATAACATGAGCGGACCCAGAGATATTTTCTGACAGTATTCCAAAGTATCTATTTTGATCCATCCTCCATTTTGATGGTCTTCCAACAGAAGAAAAAATAGATACCAGGCAATATAAACTTAATAACCTGACTGTCTTCCGGAAGTCCCAGAAGATGGTCTCAATCTACCCTTTCAATAAGATTACAGTTTCAGGACCATGAGAGTTCAAATTCACATGATGTAAGTCTCAATATTTGAAAAATGATGACAGTGCATAAAATAATATTACATAAGTAACATAATGTTTAAAGACATAAAAAACAATACAACTGCTTATGTGGAAAAACAGAAATGTCAGAGTCTCAGGCGGATGAGAGTTTAAAGTCACAAATGCAAGTGTTTGAGAAAAAATTATAAAGGAAAACAACAAAACTAGAAAAGCACTCCGAGAGTGCAGACCTCTGCCAAGGTAGCAATTGTTGATTATTATTGATTTTTGTCCTCTTTGGCCCACTTCTGACAGTTCCTGAAAATTTCAGCAAAATCGGTCCATAACTTTTTGAGTTATGTTGATGACAAACAGGGGTGAAAATATAACCTCCTTGGCAGAGGTAAATATAATTCCAATGAAGCTGCTATTCAAACTTTTAATCTTTCAGTTTGATATATATATATATATA